AAACCTGCCACCTTAGGTGTATGTGGCTGGCGCCTTAGCCACTTGAGCCACAGGCGCCAAGCCAGCACCTTTTCTTGTAAACACTAGGGAGCTCCAGAAGGTGATCCAAGTGGGGGGAACAGGCTGTGGCCCTCAGGAGAGTTTCTGCGTATCAGAAGCAGGCATAGGACTTGCCATCCCTCCTTAAGGCCACCTCAGGGAAGTGCAAGAGTGACCACACCCTCACCTCTCCAGGGTGGTTCTGCTGCCCTTCCTGTCTTAGGTAAAGGTCTGAGAGAGGAGAGAGTGTCAGATCACAGAGTCTGAAATCTGTCTGGAGACAGATATCTTTCCCCACTTGTCAACTTTGTGGCCTTGGGCAAGTTACTTAACCTCCCTGAGCCTCCACATTCTCAGCTACAAAATGGGGACAATAATGGAAGCCTTGAAAAGAGGGCTGTTACAGGTGTCAAGAAGACATTAAGCTAAATATTAGCTCTCTGCTTATTTTTGTACAAGGAACATGTATCCAGAGATTGATTCCATCCCATAATGATAAAAACAAGATTTATATACGTGAGAGGGGAGAGAAAAACAATGAGCACAGTGAATCTCGTTTGCATGTTTTTGAGTAAACTGAGTGGCTGGCATCTTGCTTCAGCTGACTATGGGTATAAAGATGAGTGTTTCAACTTATAGATTCCACAGGCAACCTTGACAGCTTTGCTGTACAGCTGTGAACCAGGGATTGTTCCTGTCACATCTGCTGGCCCCTGCCAGTAGCACTCCCTGCTTGGTTAGACCAGGTCTATTCCATTCCCTCATTAGAATACTATCTCACGGGGTTAAAAAGTGTTAACTGCTTAGAGCTGGTGGCACACAGTAGGCGCTCAATAAACGTTAGTTCTTGGTATTCCCTCTGTTAATTCAGCAAATACTTGTTGAGCAGCTCCTCTGCTCCAGGCACGATGGTGCCACGGTGAGGCAGACACAGTCTCTGGGAGCACCCCAGTCAGCTGGAGCGAGGTAGACTCAGCCCAGGTCACCATTCTATTCTCCCATCAGCCAGCAGGCAGTCAGCAAGTACCAACTGCATGCAGCTTGGAGGTAAATCTGACTTATTTCCGTCTTTCAGGGAGCTCTAGGCCTAGTGGGAGAGGTGTAGGATACAGAGGTCCATGCCAGGGCAGGGCTGGGGAGAGGATGCAAAGACAGGCACCACAGGGCCCCTGCCTGCCCCTGTCCCTGCTGTGGCTTCCTAGCTCCTTGGCCTGATCAGGAGTCATATGTCTTCCACTTCTTCCTGGGGTAAAGGGGCAGGAAGGGGAGGAGAAGGCCCAGGAAAGCCTGGAAGAAGGACTTTTAAGGGAAATAGGGCCTAAAGACTGGGGCTCTGAAGGATCCAACACATAGGGGCCAGGTGGGGAGTAGCACAGCCAGGTTAGTGCCATTGGCCCCTCCTGGGCAGCACCACCTGTCTCTGGGACCCTGAAGATGACCTTTCCTGTCCCTCACGTAGGAGGAGAACAGCTGGACTGGATGAGAACATCAAGGTCCCTACTGAGAGCCACAAAGCAATAGTTAAGGGAGGTGCAGGTGTTCTGGGGGGTGGGAGGCAGGGGCATGCAGATAGCCAGGTGGTGGAATGACCTCACAGAAGGACTCTCCCTAGCTGCACCCCAGGCAGGCCTTTCTGGTCTGGGTGCTCAAGTTCCAGCACTGACAAATGAGACCTGGTTGAGCTGTGAATGTGGTTTGGCCACTGTCCCTGTGGGGGCATCTGGGGTACTGCAATTGAGCTGGGCAAGGGAACAGCCTGGTTCGGGCTGACTCAAATACTTTCAGTTGCTGCTAGGCCCCTCCCCTGCTCCCAGGTGCCCAGGGCAGGGCCTCCAGGGGTTGCTCCTCTGGGTGCCTCCACCTCTCTTCCCTGCCAGCAAGCCCACAGCCAGCCCTTGTCTTTGCCTGGTGCCCTCTCTTTACAGGTGTGCCTTTACATGTCCTATCTCTCCTACAGTCCCTGTGCCTGTATACACAGCACACATCCATACACAAGGCGCACATTACATACACGTATATGCAACACACAATATATACACACAACGAACATAACATACAACACAAAACAGGGATCCTAGCACTTTGGATGGTAGCCAAGGCAGGAAGATCACTTGAGGCTAGCCTGAGCAACATAACCTTGTCTCTACACAAAAAGTTTTTTAAAGTTAGCCAGGTGTGGTGGCACACAGCCTTAGTCCCAGCTACTTGAGCAGCTGAGGTGGGAGGATCACTTGAGTCCAGGAGTCAAAAGTTGGAGAGATGGGATCACACCACTGCATGCCTATCTCTTTAAAAAAAAACAAATACAAAATACATGCAGGCTCCAACATAATTAATACAAAATACAATTGTACAAACACAGAAGATAATTTCCTACTTCACATTTTTACTTTGAGCAACAAACAACAACAACAAAAAAGTTTTAAATTTGAACATTGCCAAGGTCTCTAAGGTTTGAAAGAATTGCCTGCCCCTACACCACACCTTTCCCAGTGGCTCCCGGGGCATTTGGGACACTGACCCCTCCCTGTGCTGGTCTCAGCCCAGGTAGCTTCCTATTCCTCCTATCACCCCTCCCACTAAGTGGAGCTGCGCTTGGACTGTCTGGCCCCAGATCCAGGGCCCTCCTTATCATTCCACCCCACTTGCCATCCCCACATGCCAAATGCCCTGAAGACCTCACTGCAAGGGGGTCACCTGAGGAATATCTCACTGCTATGTGTGAGTCCTGCCTCCCTGGGCCTCTGAAGTCTGGGGGGTCTGTGCCTCTCCATCAGCCTTTCTTTATGAGTGAGTCAGTGTCATGGAGCCAGTTTGTTGGAATCTCCAATAACCCAGTGAGGCCAGGGCTACAGCATGCACACTTTACAAACAAGACCCCGAGGCCCAGAGAAGTGGCTCACACCAGCTCAAGTCAGTGGTTGAGCCTGTTTTCTTAATCCTGGGGCCAGATACAGCTGCATGCTTCCTTGAACTGTTCTCTTTGAGCTTCATAAGTGCACGAAGTGGACTGCTGGCCTAGGCTGGTCTCAGTTCACCAGTGTGGGTGGGCAGGGTCCCTCCCACCCCCACAGGACAGTCAATTCCAGAAACTTATGGAGCTGACCCAAATACTTAAGCTCCTATGTGTCAGTTTCCTCTTTTACCAAGTGGGGTTAATGGTAACACCCTCCCTGTGGGTTGTGATGACATTAAAAAGTTAACTCATGTACATCCTGGCCACCATGATTAACTTCTAACCATGCCCCCCACCCCATTAAGCCCTCCTTAACCCCAAAGTCTGATAATTTCATCCCCAACTCTGGCCTTTAGCACCCATTATCTGGCCTATAGCCTTACTCCAGCCCCACACTGTGTATTGGGCATCTTCCTGCTTCTCAGGATTGGGGACCACTGACACAGGCCTCTGTGCCATTCTGTAGTGTCGGTGTGTGTGGGAGGGATCTCCTTGCTGCTTCCTCTAGGAGGAAGCTCACTGCCCACTGCTCAATGCAATTTCTCTCCTCATCCCAGGCCTTGCTCAGGCCCTGGGATGGTCCCTGCAGGGTGGGGAGCAGCACCTCTCTCTCTCACCCTCAGCTGAGTCTGTACTGGGGTTAGAGTGAGCAGGGGCTCCAGGAGCTGGCCCTTGCCCCCTAGCCTCTCGCTCAGCCCCCCAGCACATACATGAACAGCCCCCATAGATGGGACACAAACACATACAGCTCTTCCACACTTGGCCTCATTCCAGAGGGGAGCAATCAAAAGTTCCTATCCTCTTGGGGAGCCTTCAGGATACCCATCCCCTTCAGGAGCCAGGGCTGAGGCTTTGGCTTCCACTTTCCAGAGTGAGGGCCCTACCCCCTCATAAGGAACTTGGGTTGGTTAGGGACATTCCTTTCTGCCCCCACTCTACCATCAAGAGGACACTCCAAGTGCACACTCAAGCCTTGCCAAGTCACCCCACTAACAACCCTCCATCCAGACAACTCCCTATGGGACAAGAATGGAGTATGGGAGCTCCTCTTAGCCCCATGTTCCATGGCAGCAGCAACCCTAGTAGGCAAGTCAGTCCTGCCTCAGGCACTGATGCCTGGCCGGTGAGGACTCTTGGCATAATGTAAAGGACCAGGGCAGGGGGCTAGATGGGTCTGCCCTGGGACAGCCCTTGGGAGGTCACATGTAAAGGTGGGGGGCTAGAGTCCATGGAACTGAGGGATATGCATGAAAATGCATGTGCATGTGTTGGCTGTGTAGTAGAGGCAGGCTTACAAGCCTGGAGAGGCTGGTGGGGCCACCAAGAAGGCTTCCTGGAAGAGGGGAGTCCTGGAACAGTGAAAGGAAAGCACAGGATCTCTAGGGGCCAGGAGAGGCAGGCTTCAGTGAGGCCCAGGTGTCCCTGTCTGAGCCTATGCTACTGGCCACGCTTCCCCCCAACCCTCCCCGCCAGGATCCTCCCTGCGGCTCCCTGTGGCCAGCAGCTCTGCAGCACTCGGCTCTGCTCCACTCTGCTCAGCTCCGCTCCAGGAAGGCCACCTCCTCCTCCCCCTCCTCCTCACGCTGTCACCACTCACCACACATAGCCTCGAGGGGGTGGGGACCCCAGAGCTGGACACACCCCACTGTGACCCTGGAGTTCAGAGGGTCGAAGGGACGCACAGTTGGACGCAGGACCCCGGAGCCCCGAGGTGGGCAGTGTGCCAGGGTCCCTCGCAGCCTCTTCAAGGTCAGTGCCAGCTGGGGATACAGCTATTCCGGGGCCCTTGAGACTTAGGGGTCCACCCCAGGCCCCTCATTCCAAATTGCAGGTCCCAAAACAGGCTTTACCTCAGGCGCACCTGAGGCAGACAGGACCAGGGAAAAGGGGCTGGCCCAGGTCTGGGGGGCTATCAGGAGAGGCCCAGGCTGGGGGCTAGCTCTTCACAGAGGTCTCGCTGGGGACACTCTGCATCGGCCATGGGGAGCTAAAATTGGAAAGTGGCGAGTGGGAGGCAGCTGACAAAGCTATTTCGCGGGCTCTTCACCATGCTCCGGTTTCAGGCTCCTGCTCCATTAACCTGATCCCCAGGGCCTCCCTACCCCCACTCAGCCACTGAGGAGGTGCCTCAAGCACTCAGGCCAGTGGGGTAGCAGTCAGGCAGCCCCTGGCATGGGTGGGGGAAGTGATGGTCTCTTCTTGTCTGAGACCCCAGAGGACTCCCTGAGAATACTTGGTCCTGAGTGGAGGCAGACAGAAGCCTGTCCCAGGTTCCCTGTGTAACCTTGACAGGGCCCTCCCCTTTCTGGTTCATGACCTCCCCCCAACTGTACAATGAAGATATCAATTGTAGGGGCCTCAGGGAACCGGCTGCAGGGCCAGTGGTAGAGACTTGGGGAGAGTCTAGGGTGGGAGACAGGGCCATACCAGCCACTTCTTGGCCTAGCTCAGCCTGAGAAGGGCCTACGCATATTTCTCCCTTTAATTTGAGCACTGAGTCTATACCCATGGAGCCCTGGGGAAGACCCTGGGCCAGGCTGAAGCAGGATAGGAAGGGCACTGGCACTAGCTGAGACCCAGAGATGGCCCAACAGTACTCCCAGGGACAAGCTGGGCCATGGCAGGAGTGGCTAGGCTCCCCTGGGCCTGATTTCAGTCAGCACCTTGGACAGCAGCCAGCACACTCCCCTGGCCCTACCTGGCCCCAGTCCCACTCCACCAGGACACCTCTTCAAATAGCACAGCCACCAGCCAGCTCCCAGGACCTCACTACACAGAGCGCTGAGAGAGTGGGGCATTGTGGTCACAGACACAGGCAGGGACTAGGGATGTGGCAGGCTAGCATGCCGGGGCTTGCTGGGGATTAGGGGTCAGGGAGACTGGAGGCTGAATGAGAAGGATGGAGTGCTGGCAATAGGGGCAGGACTTAAGAGGTCAGAATCTCAGGAAGGAAAGATGGCAGGGAGGGAGGGAGGGAAGAGGGGGCTGGGCCTTTGTCAGGAGCTGAGGGGGGTTCCCAAGGGACCTGGAGGCAGAAATATGATTGAAGTGATACAGGTAAGGTTTCTCCACACAAGGTCTGGACAGAGGGTGGGGACCTGCCACCAGAAAGGTAGGAAGCAGTAAATGGAGGT